CAGGGCTAGGAGGCTTCGCACTATTTTATAGATTATTATGTTCTTTTGGGTTTAGTAAGTCTCAGGCTTGAGGTCTCAGTTTTCTTTTCTGTAAAATGGTAGTGATAGACCAGATTAGTAATTTTCCAACTGTATGCTTCAAGGAGTGCTAAAAAGTTTGATCCACATTTCATAGTAAACATATTTTTTGAATTTATTTTATACATTAGAGTGCTAAAATGTATATTTCCTGAATTTAGTATGTAAAAAAATTATATACAGTGATATGAATCAAAATGGAATGTATTAGAGACTGTCTATACGTTAAAGAGAAAACCGCAGGCCCCAAATGGCATCACGGGCGCTAAAAACCTATGATACCAAACATAGATTTACTATCTGATCCAACTGCAATGCAATCTTAACCAATCAGCCTGGAGTTTTCTGGTCTAGCACCGATAAGTTAATGTGTCATTATGTGCCCTTTCCATCCTCCATTGAAAGAAGAGGCAGTCTATATGGTAAAAACCCTTCCCACTCTCTTCTCAGAAAACATGATCCCTAGAAAAGAGGCCTGGGTTCCAAAATAACCCTTTCTTTTCTTTCACTAATAGCTCCCTTGCTTGACCCTGTTTCCTAACCTTCTATTGTGTACAACCCTTGGGAGTGCCCTCTAGCTGACAGATTCATGATTCGTTTAATAAAGCCAATTAGATCTTCAATTTTACTTCATTGAATTTTGTTTTTAAACAATGTTAAAATGTTCTCATTGAGTAAATCTATACTATACAAAGTAAATTTTCCAAGTTTGAACTACAAAGTACATTTGTGACAATAAAATGTCATTTTTTATTGGGTTTCATGGGAGATTTTACATGTCTGTTTTCAAGGGTGGAATTCTGAAGATTTTACACCTCAGCCAGCTTATTTGTATCATAAGCTTGTTATAATGTTTTCTATAGCCCATCAACAGGTCATCATCGTAATAGTGAATACCAAGGGATCATTATGCATAAGATGCTGATTTACAGTAGTCCCCCCCTTATTTGAGGTATCATTTCCTACAGTCAACCAGAACCCAAAAAATATTAAATGAAAAATTCCAGAAATGAACTGTTGTGGTTGAAAACAGCCTCGTCCTTGAGATTGAGAGAAACGCATTTCAAGGCCCCATGCTCGGGAGACTGTGATATAGATGTGGCAAGATGACTTGTGATGGTTGACCACAAGTTTCCAATGTCCCATCTCCCTCTGTCCTACCATGGGAAAAGTCCAAACTAATCTTTAGCAGGGCCAAAATAGAAGCCAGTGCCCAGAATTTCTGCTTCATATTAAAGCTTAGTCTTTTTGGAACCCATGTGGTCTGCCAGCCCCACTTGCTGCTGCACCAGCACGGTTGTGTGTACCCAGGTGGGATAGAACATGAACAAACAGGTGACTGTAGGTCACCTAGCAAGAGAGCTTCTTTGTTCACCTAGGATTATGTATTCTCAGGCTTTGGAGGAACCAGAAACTTTTCCAAAATAATCAATCAGCTTCCCAAACTTTTGCAGGCTTGCATTGGCTCCAGCCCCCTAGTCAATGGTCTTTTCCTTAGGTTAGATTGATAGGCCTCTATGGTCCAGCACCTTCCCCTGTGGCACTTTGACTTCATTGTCCATGTGCTTACTTCCCCTTTGTTTTAACCCTTCCCCCAGTGATCTATGGGGAACAGACTTGAGGTTCCCTGTGGGGAGTGTGAAGCTGTAGCTTCCTGGTGAAGCAAACAGGCTTAGTGCCCAATACCCTTTGCTTCCTTTCCATCATTAATATCTAGCTAACTACAGTAAAAGAATAATTCATGTTTTATTTATTGTATTTTAAATTTAAAAAAAAAATTTCAATATTATTTTGTATTGGTTTCAGGTGTATAGTATAGTGGTTAGACAATCATGCACTTAACAATAAGTTTTAAATTGCTTGCCATTCTAAGTAGCAAGATGAAATCTTGCACCATCCATCTTGGTCCCACCTGGGACTGTAAATAACCCCTTTATCTAGAGTATTCACCCTCTAGAGTATTCACGCTACTATTCCAATAGTCATTTGGTGATTGGGAGAGTTGAAACAACAGTTAGGTGAGGTACTAAATCTAGGATTGGTATCCAGGGACTTAGCATAAGCGACACCATTTTGAGCTTCTGGTTTTTCTCTATAACAAAAGTAATTGCAAAGTGTGGACAAAATTTCACACACATTTGTAGTGTTGATGTTACCAGGGAGATGACAAGATGTCAGTTCTTCTTCAGGGAAAGATTTCAATCAAGGGACAAAGTGTAGAAAAGAAAGCAAGAATTTATTGACTGCAGCAAAATTATATTTAGGACAATGAAAGAAGGAAGGGCACCGAAGAAGCAGTAGGAGAGCCTAGGCTGGGCTGCTTTGTCTCACTGGGAAGTTAGAGAAAAGGGAGGCCCTTGGAGACAGGTTCACGGGGTTAGCCCAGGATGAGCTGCCGCTGCCCATTGCTCCCCTGGTTGCGAGTCTCATGGGGTCCCTTAGAGGTTGGGGGACACATGCCTGTGGGGGGGAGGAAAAGGGGAAGGGAAAAGCATGGCCTTGCTCCCTAGAAGGAGAGCACCCTGGGACTGAGTTGCTCCCTTGGTTGCAAGTCTCATGAGGTCCCTGCAGAGGGAAGAAGGGGGAAGGCGACGATGCTGGTGTGCTTCCTTTGGGGCGAGAGCACACTGGGACCTTCATTTTCAGGGGTTTTAAAGGCTGGAACTTTAGGTGTGGTCTTAGAGCTTCAAGCTGCTGTACCAAAATGAGATTTATTCTCTTAATTTGTCTGTCCTTGGGTGTGGTTAGGAAATGGCACTAATTGGATTTCTGCTATCTATCTCCCAGAGTGGGGTGATTTAAGGTATTTACTCTCTGACTGGGGAGGAGAAATGCAAACCATTTACTCTCCAGTGGCCTTGGTTTAGGGAAGATAGGATTTACTAGGTGGCTGCAGACTGCTGTTTAACTCTCTGTCTCAGTTTCCCTATTCCCTTGTCCTGGAATTTTCCTAGCTTTTACTGTGCTATAACAGTGGGAAGAAAAAATTTCCTCTACCCTTCAAGGTCCTTCTGGCTGGCCTAATGATTAAACTGACATGAGAAAGATTATCAGGAGAAAAATTAAAATTCAACAACATATATGCCTCCTGTATACACAGGAAGACCCAGGAACACTAAGTTGTCAAAATAGTGGAGGCCATCACCCTTAAATGCCACCGTCAGCTAACGGCAACAAAAGATGTTTGGAGTTGGGGAGTCAGTTAAGGGCGGTTACTGGGAAAATCAGTAACAAGGATGGGATTGTTATGCAGAGTTAAGTCCGAACCTTCTTCATGTTAACAGTTACTTAGAGATTTAGATCCCCTCCCCTCCCTGACACCCTGAGGGAAACAGGAGCTTTCCCTTACAAAGGCGAATGTCCTCTTACAAAGGGGATGTTATACATGGTTTTAAGAGCTTCTCCCATATCCGGTTTCTTTATATTAACCAGCCTAAAATAACTCATATCCCCAGAGGCATATTTTGGGGTGCAAACTTTGCTCCCCTTCAGTAAAGAAAGGTAAAAAGAGCAATTAAAACTTCTTTCTTAAGACCCAGACAGGAGGATGCCTTTGTGAGAGAGTCAAGTGAATCCCAGGAGCCCTACTTCTGGCGGTGATGTTGACAGTTCCAAGGGTCAGAGGCTCACAGATTTGCATTGCAGCCGAGATCAAGCCTCTCATCAGGTTTATTAAGTTGCCAAGAACACAGCCAACCGGAGGAGGAGGCCTGCTGTCCCTGGGGTAGGGGCGGGGGCTGGGGTCATTGTCATCTTCCCCGGCCGCAGACTAGGGTCCGCGCCTCTGGAGCTTACATTCTGATATTCTTCAGACCACGGTCAAAGGCAGGGCCGCTTCTGGCAGGCAGGCGGGAATGAAGACGTGATGTCTGACCTGGAATTTTGGAACTTTAACAAATGTTTAAGAGCGGAATGAGTGGTGAATGACAACCTAGCGGTGGCCAAGAACCTAAAGAATGTTTCTATTTGACGTCAGGATCTTTTTTTTTTTAATATATCTTTATTGTTGACGTCAGGATCGTAAGGAAACCGAGGAAGGGAACATAAACAGTACAGTCCCAGAGCGGTGCTTTCAGAGCCACCAGGCTGAAGGCGAGCTTCCCC